TTCAGCAGAATTAACCGTAATTGAAATGATTTTTTGCCTCCCCCTGTATAATTAAAATGCGAAAAGTTATAGCATTATAACTGGAACGGAGAGCGGTAATTGGCCCTTAATTAATTCGCTTGTTTGCAGATCGCGTGGTTTACGCTGCTCGCTAATAATATTCAGATGCACGCGGAAACGTTGTTTACTGTTAGGTTTTAGGTAGATTGGTTGGTTGGTATACCTAAGCTCGTTTGCGTATGTTGACCATGTCCGGCTCATACGAAGCTTCGAACAATGGGTTTAATCTATGCTGCTGAATATATTTGGATTCGAGTTCGTGCAGAAATGTGGGAGTGTTTTCGGGTGCTTACGTTATTGATGTGCAGACCGCAGAAGTCCGGAGTTGCTCTGACTGCAAGAAGGTTGATGTCAAGGTTGACCATCTTTCCGCCATCCCCGTGGGTCATGCATGCTGGTGTTCGGAAGTCCCTTGCGTGGACTGCTCCGTAGAAGCTGGAGTTGAAGCCAACCCTGATGCTCATGTGACCAGCTTTGCACGTCGCCGATACTTGAGGAACGAATTCAGTGTCCACTGATTCCGACCACGACTGGAAAAGAAGATAACAATATTAGTAATAGTAATATTTATTCGGCTTAAGTTTTGATTCATGTAACGAGTATAAGAAAACAGGGTTGGGCAAATCCCAGAAATGATTGCATTGAGACAGCGCAAAGAATCAAAGAATTTGCAAATAATTAATTGGGACGTAAAGTAACGGAGCGTTAAAGAGGATGTAAAAAAAATAAAATAAAGCAACGTTTCAGAGAAATGTACTTAGAGGAACTATAATTGTGGTTCGTTATGCTTCCGGCTGTTTCTTGCGTTATCATTGGCATTAGAGCGGGAAGCAACTTCATCTTAATGAGCTTGACAACAGGAGTTAATGGAAGGCATGAATATGCACAAACACGACGTTTAACGTGTGTCGCACACGCATTTTCACATGATCGTTCCGCGTTGGGCAAATCCGTAAAACGCACGACGACGACGACTACAGCTACTTCTCGTTTCTGCAGGCTCTCTCCTTTTCGTCCTCGGACCGTGCCCAAATGCAAATCGCTTCATTAATTCCACTACGAAGGGAATTCCCCTCGGATCTGGCAGCCCGTCCTTTGCGAATCATAGCGAAAATGATAGTGCTTTGATGCAAGGAATCCTACCCCAAGGACGCGTGGATAATGTTACTTTTACCATTTTTATGGATCGCACAATCTGTTGCTAGAGATCAATTGCTTTCATATACTGGTAGTCCTCGGTTTACGATACTTTTAGATTCATTAATAAATCTTTTGATAATGAATGATAGAAATAATTTCTTAAAACAATATAGACTTGTCATGAGTTCAAAATCTATCAATGACTTAAAAATGTAGTTTTACGTTTTATATAATTAGTACTTACTAATTGATAATAAATAACTTGAAGTTCAGCATTATTTTATTGACACAAACAAGTAAGTTAAAAAAAAAATAAACCCAAACATTGCAATATTTTTATTATTTTTCATTCATATCAACATATAAAGGGTGTCCCAAAATTAACGCAAAATTTTAATTTGCCGCCATTTGTGCAGTAAAGTGTTGGAAACCCAAAAAAAAAACAATTTGACACTTTACTGCACAAAGGGCGGCAAATTCAAATCTTGCGTTAATTTTGGGGCACCCTTTATATTTTATTGAATTAATCTCTTAGAAATTTGTGAAAATATATTACAAAATTGAGCAATAAACTCATTAAACATTATTTTTACGTTTTATATACTTAGAATATTGTATATCATAAAATTTCATTTATCCATTCAAACGGAGAAATAAAAAAAATCTTACATTTCATGATTAAAAGACCTCGGTCGTTAGTCCTTTGGCCAGCCTATTAATATTTTTTTTTTATTTTATGTTAGAATTTATTTATGTATAGAATATACTTTTTTCTCTTATATTGATGTTTGGCCAATAAATTATTATTATTTTTTTTAAGAAAGTACCTTAAAATTTATAATTATTAACTGAAATATGTAGAATTTTGAAATAAATATGATTTCTTCACATTTTATTCAATTACTTAATAACCATACTTGCTACTGTTTTTATGGTACAGTTCTTCTGATGTAAGTTATTAGCTTAATTATCAGCTATATTTATTTCATATAGAGACAATATGTATTCTATTTATTACAAAATATTATATTTGATGAACGTTAAGTAATCCTGTATGAACAATTTTCAATTATTTATTTAATATATAATTAATTATATATTGGAATGTCTTGTCTTATTATTAAGTAGGTTAATAATCAGAAAAATAATAATATATAATTACACTGTATTTGAATGTTCGCTTCTTAGCTTTGAGACAGTGTGAAAATGAAATTTCTTAACGGTTTTTCCTATATACTTTGATTGAAACGTTCCATTGATTCCCATAATTGAATCTCAAGTTTCATGTAATAATAAATATTTTATTAAATTAGTTGACTTTGGAAATTAATTTCATTTCAATCGAATTAATTTTATTACTTTAATTGTTGAATTTTAATGCAAATGGAGAAAATGTATTAATGTTATCAATTTAGATAATATTATATATTTAATGTGTATTTTAACATTCGCTTCTTAGATTTGAGACACTGTGAAAATGAAGTTTCTTAACGGTTATTTCTTAAGTAGTTTGATTGAAACGTTCAATTGAATCTCATATGGATTGATATGACCAGACAGGTTTCATTTTGACCTTATGTAAAAGTAATTAATTTTCCACTGCTAATTCTGTTCTTAGTAACAAGGAAATATTTCTAATACCTTAGTTATCGTATAGAGTGAATTCAGTTTCTATTTTAATCTAGTTATTTTCTTCTTAAATTGTAAATTTAATTAGAAAGAAGACTTTCTTGGTAGTTTATTATGGTTAATAATGTGTGATTATAGTTTATTTCAATATTCGCTTCTTAGTTTTGATACAGTGTAAAAATAAAGTTGATTGGCGGTTTTCCTTAAGCACTTTTATTGAAACGTTCAATTGAATCCCATAATGGGATGCCATTATGCCTGGACCAGGTTTCATTTTTACCTTATATAAATGTAATATATTTCTAGTGATAATTATGTATTTCCTTAGAAAATATTTCTAATACCTTAGTTATCGTATAGAGTGAATTCAGTTTCCATTTTAATCGTGTTATTTTCTTGTTAAATTGTGAATTTTAATGGGAAAGAAGAACTTCTTGATAGTATATTATGGTTAATAATAAGGGTAATAACGTGTGATTATAGTTCATTTCAATATTCGCTATTTAGCTTCGATAGAGTGTGATAATGAAATTTCCTAACGGTTTTCCTTAAGCACTTTGATTGAAACGTTCAATTGAATCCCGTAATTGGATGTCATAGGTCCAGGCAGGTTTCAATTTGACCATATATAAACGTAACTCATTGTCTACTGATCATTTAGTATTTCCTAGTAACTAGGTAATACTTATACAACTTTAGTTATTGAATGAAAATATAAGTTCTATTTCAATTGAGTTAATTTTATTTTCTTAATTATTTAACATCATTGTAAAATGAGAACAATATGTTATGTTATATTATACTTAGCTTATTTCTTAAGAACAAGACAATACATGTAAAAACAATTTTTAGCCCCGAATAATGTGTAGAAAATCATCCCGGATTGATCTGCGACAATTTATATTACATTTTCTATTTATAAAATTTTGAATGGAAAAAAGGAGGTTACTAATTAGGATAATGATATATGATTCTAGCGTATTTAAATATTGTTTTTAGACCTTTGAAACTTATTGACGGTTTTTCTTAAGATTTTTTTTATTGAATCCTATAATTGAATGTCACAAATTGAAACAAGTTTCTTTTATATAAACAGAAATTATATTCAGGAATTCTACAAGATTTTTATAGTCTCAAATCGGGTTTGAAAATATAAAACCTCGCATAGTCCGCTTTCGATGAAATTCCAAAAAAATAATACAGAAATTTACAGTCAAGTCTGTTTATTTACATGTGGTTTTAAAGTCTTCGATTACTATGGAAATGATTACTCGGACTATACGAGATACTGCAGTATTTCTGAAACCTTAGGTTCAATTTCAAATACTTTTTTTTGTATTCGTTTATAGGTAATGAGGACAAAATGTTATGATTATATATGCAAGTTCGGTGTAACTTCGATGCAGATCCGTTTAATTCCATCACCGTTGCGGAACTGCAACCGGCATTATCATCATCATCCTGGCAGAGTTGTTGTAATTCATGCAAGCCGTCCACGGAAACTCCATTGTGTTCATCCAAACAAAGTTGCGAACACACCGATTCGATTATCCAAACTAAACCATTTCCCTCTCCCCCCTAGTGTTTATTTATCTCTCGCACAGTGGTACAAACAAAATTCAATAAAACGAAGTTATTTCAACGGCTTTCTAAAAGCAGTTGACAATCGCTGCCTTCGATGACCACTTTCTACCGTTCAAGAAACTTCAGTTTGTTCCTTTTTTTCCATCGCAATTATTAATTGCCGACTGCTGCAATTAATTAGAGGCTTACTCCATTTTCCCACATGTCCGGTGGGATCGGAGTGGACGTGAACAGGTAACGAGATTGAAAACGCGGCCGCCGTTTAATAATAATAATCATCATCAAAAAAAAATAAAGAAAAAGGAAAGTTGCTTGAATCTTCAATTATTATTCAGCCGAAGACTAATTGTTAATTAATCCAATATTTTCTATTAATTGATTCATTGCGGTGAGACAATGGTCTACCAAATTGTGCGTTGGCGTTTTCTTGAGATCTGGAGCTGTCCGAGGAATAAACGAGGTTCGAGTCCAAGAAACGAGCAGCTCCTTAAAAGGTGCGCCAGGAGTGAGAGTGGTGCTGTATGTATTATATATATATGTATATATGTATACCCAAGGCACAGTCGCATAACAATCGTCCTACACACGGCAAATACTTAAACTTATGATCCAATCCATAACACACTTTATACATCTGGATGTATTAACATATTAAATAAGATACCTTTAACAAATAGTGCCGGCATTAATCCCAGGCCTTGCGCGATTTATAACCTTCGCGTGCGCAATCCGTGTATTAATGCTTGACCATTTATTAAAATGCTAATAAATAAATGAATGAATGAATGCACATAGAACATATGAAAAAGTGTGTGTCTATACATGCAGGAAATAGTTGCAACAAAGCCTAATATATTTAGAATTATAAAAAAATAGTACTTAATACGTCAATAATTCTAAAATCCTCTCCATAAATTTTTTCAATAATAATACAGCATCATCTAACACGATAAGTTACAACACGGTTTACTCCAACGTAGTCAGAAATTAGCGAATATCATTCTACTTCCAGTAATCTGGGTCTCATGTAAAACGATTTCACTTCACACGATATTTTCTAGGAACCTGTCTATCGCGTTACACTGTATATATTTTTGTTGGAGGTATGTAAATGTATGTAATGAATAAAAATAATGAATAATAAATAAAAAATTGTCGTTTATATCGCAAATTAACT